ATTCGATACACAGAATGAAAGAAACAACGATGAAGAAAGCCTTACTTATTCCTTCAAAAAAGAAAAAGTGAGCAAGTCTTTTCTCTTATTATTTTACATTTCAGTCAAAGTTATAAAATGCAAAGGAAAGAAAAATCAAATAACGAGACAACATTGAAAATGTTCACAATAGTTTTGGCAGTAAATCGTTCGTTTTCTCTCAATTACTATGAAACTTTTACTGTTCTCTCCTACTGAAACGAAATACAACAGGCGCAAAAAAAGTCATCACTAGTTACATTTATAATTTTTTGCAAATGTGGGCTTTTTTTTCGCCTACGGTTGACACAAAAGTATTGAGAGAGTAGCACATTTGCCGCTTGGTTACTTGAATGAAACCTCAAGAACAAGAAAAGCTAATTGTCCAAATTTCGATACAACACAACTGTTAATGATAGTTGAAGCATATTGCCAGAAATGTGAATATCTTTGCCTGTACCACCTCTCTCAGAGGATCTGCCAAATATGGAGAATGAATAAACTGTAGTGTCACAAACGATGATTGACATTTCGATATGTTTGTCACTTTCGCGAACGAATAGAGTTGACTCGTGATATTTTATGTTCCCATTTTTCAGGAATTACACTGAAAGCTTTTTCATCATTTTTCGTTTAGCCAATCAGACTTTTTTCGTCATCTGCTGCTCAGCAAGTCAACCTTTGTCATGGCTTCTGTTGAACCAATCGATTCTTTTTTGAAGAAATTTCATTCGCGTACATAAAAAGTAACTAGTAGTAACTTCATGAAAAACCATGAAAGCATGCGATTGACCGAGAAAAACTTAATTGAAAGTAGCATTGAATAAGCAAAAAGCGATAAAAATGTAATTAGGTGAATTCAAAATCATGACAAATTTGATCAATGAGAGAAATGCTCTGAGCAAAGAAAATTGACCACACGACTAGCGAATCGTTTTCAAAACACACTATCAACATTGCCTCTCTAATCTATTGTGCGATCTGTTACCTTCTTTTGATTTGCTTACTCAACTGTTAACAAAAGCCCATGAATATAGTATATCAATAACTGAGCTCATGATTTCTATTGCTGCAAATGACCGAACAAGAGAAATCCGAGCTTGGTGCATGTCTAAACAAGCGAACAGCTTCTCACAATCAAGACCTATCTAATTTCTTTTTCGACGACTTACTTCAGGGAATCGAAGTATTCAAACATTAGAATCATTGAATTTCGTGGTCGTTTTCCGTCGAAAACAACAGGAAGCTTACTGGAAGTTGCAGGAAAAATCCGGACTCTTTTTACTCCGGGATATTGCTTCCAGGTTTCATTGATTTCCCATATTTGACAGTCAGAAACGGTCAGTATGTACTCGCCTGAACAGAAGTTCCATTAAACTTGTTGTATGCGCCCTAAAACCAGTTTTATAACGTCACCTACGGAAAAACAACAGGTTCTGCGACATTTGAATTTAAGAAGTAACGAAAAACAGTAACCAACATTAGTATCTGGAAATGAAAACTAAGTAACAATGCTGCTATAAATGCTTTTTCTTCAGAAGAAAAATTGGAACTAAAGACTGAAGTATTTTGTTTTATGCCAGGTTATATGGCATAGGTTGTCGTCTTCAAGAGAATGCATAAAAGTAATCAAACAGCCTTATTAATAGAATTGAAACGAAAAAAGAAGAATATTTACAAAATAACCTACAAAATCTGAAAACAATATTTATGTGAATAAGAAAAAATAATCAATTTAGGAGGTTGAATCATGTTCTTGTATTCACCTGTATACGATTTCTGTTGTCCTCTTCAGCGAATTGTCCATAATCGTTATAAGAAACTAATCATATCACTATTAGAAGAAAAAGAAAGAATCTGAGAGCTAATATGATACTGGTAAACCTCTGTAATCAAATATTACTTACGATGGAAAGAAAAAAATAACAGAAAATACTTGTTTACATTATGATCCTTCTTTGTGTGATTTATGTCGTAGTCTTCACTGAAATTTCTGCAATAATAACTACAAGCAAGACAAGACACGAAAAGAATAGCTGTGTCATCTAGAATTTTGATATTCTGAACTGAAATCTTATTGAGTCTCAAGTGTATAAAGATATACTTAATAAGAGCAGAGTTACAGTTACAAAAATTGTTGGTATGGTTAAGAAAATTGAATTTTGATATTTCTAACATATTCGAAAAAGTAGATATATAACACCAATAAATAGAAGAAAATTAGGGAATAATTACGTAAAAAAAACTTCAAAAGGAACTTCTACTGGTTAGATTGAGTTACTTAAGAGCCATTGTGCAAAAGACACGGTCAACGTTGATCAATCGATTATAGCGACATGATTGATATTTTTACAGTAGCTATATAAGTTGAGCTAAGGATAAACTGAGAGTTTTAGTTGAAATGGATGAACTATGCTGGAGAAATCGACATTGCAAGCAAGTATGCGTTGTTAACTCTGAAGTATCTTGTAGAACAATACTTTTCAGTGAATTAACATTTTATGAAGGATAATCAGAGTTATAACTGAGATTTCCCAATAAATCAAAGAATTACAAAAAACGTAAGCAAATCATTCAAGAACTAGTTCCATACGATACGTATTATTGGTATAAAAACACATTTTTTCCCTATAAAAGCCATTTTCTATTCGTTTATCTATATTCATTATTGTACCATATTTACATCATTCTGTTGCACGCTTCTTAATAACATCTTTGCTAAAAATTCTAAAGATTCTAGGAAAAATATGTCGTATTTCTTATTGCAAAATTCGAAGTATAATAGTGTCCAGCTGGAACAGGAAGACGGAAACGGGAATGATATAAAAAATTGACATTTCCAAAAATCGTTTTTGTCGCGTTTTGTTTTATGTATAAACCATGGATGCAGAATCTGCCGGTAAAAATATTCTCCGAATGACAAAATTTTTGCGAAAAATTTCTTCCGCTTTAAAATTCAATTAAACAACGAGCTTTCTCGTTTAAAGTTTTTATTCGAAATAAAACAATCAGCACTATTTGACACATTGCAAATACGATTTAAATACGGCTACTAGTCAATACCATTTGGTTCAGGTAATTTTGTTCCTTGTACTTTTCATAAACAATTTAAACTCACTAAGCCGATAGAAAAACGTTTCCGCCTATAGTGTACTCCTGAGTTCGTGGAACTAGGGCTACTTAAATCGAATCGAACCAATATCGAAATTGATTTTCAAAAGTAAATTCGAACTGAGCTCAACTTGAACAAACTCGAAAAATGGTTCGATTCGGTCACTGATGGCCATATATTAGCCATCCTAGTGATAGTAGTGTATGCATACGCATATGCAATAGCAACAGTAAATAGTAACAGAGAAAAAACGACAAGTAGTGCCATTTCATTAGATAAAAATATAAAAAGAATAGAGGAGAACACAAATAGTATGTGTTATTATTTCGTTTGAAAAATTCAAAGCATTGTCTCTCTTTGAGAGAAAATATTTCTCAATCAACTTTCTCAGATGATATTAAATTTTAAAAATTTTTCCTGAATGATCGTTCGCGCACACGAACGGATTTTGCACGATCGCTAAAATGACTGAGATACTCTGCGACAGATACTTTTGTCCGCTATTGTACGGTAACAAACGAGAAAAGCATCTTTACGCATTTATAAAGTCGACTCAACATCATGGGAGACAAAACTGAAAGAATAAGAAAATAGATCATAAAATTAAAACACCTGTCTTTGGATTTGCTAATACTAAATTAACAGTCGTCATCTATTGTTTGTGTTTTGTTTACTAAATAATTCTAGCTGTCGACACTTTTGTAGATAGAATTATGAAACTCGTACCAGTACATTTACAACATGATGAATTTCAAAAGAATAATATATTGAAAATTTCAAGTTAAAAAAGTCATTTAAATTTTAAAAAGAATTGATGTTTCAGATAATTGACTTAATGCTGATGGCTTTTTTTTATGGGTAATCATTTCACGAGTACGAAGTTACTCTTCTGTTATAGAAAATAAATTTTTCTTATGATAAGATGAAAATTGTTTAAACAATTATCCAAGATTAAAACCTAAACGTACAGATAATGAACACTAGCCGAGGATTGCGAAGTATCTCTAGAGTAGATCACTAAATGTATTGTCAAAAGAAAAATTCTTACAATACCTTGTTCTCTTAACACTTTATCGAATATATAATGCAGACAAATTGTCCCAATTTTGATCTAATACTCACATATTTTCTAGAAAAAAATCATATTTCGGTCCAAAAAGTAGATATTAAGGGATTTCAAAAACTTTATTTTCCTTTGGCACTTCATCATGTCAAATTTGCATGTCTTTGCGAGATACTTTTATGTCAAGAACAAGATATGACTTCAAAGTTTCAAGCACCTACGATGTTCAAATTAATATGCGCAAATTTACCCTGATCGGCAAAAAAAAGACGTCTTGTTTGCCTTTTGTTCTTGAGAAATATTTTTTTTTAAAATATTAATTTTCAACTCATCAAAAAGTTCATCATGCTCTGATGTGAGCTGATGAATCCAGTCGAATATTCAACATAATGAGCATCATCAGTTATGTTAGCATAATCTCTTATGCTTATTATTGAAATTTTAGGACAGTTAAAACCTATTAAAAATGCATGTCACTATTTTGATTCATTCGATATTTGTTTAAAAATCAAACTTTATTTATTTGTCAAATGAATGATCTGAAATTTGTTTGATATATTTTAACAAAAGAAAACATCATCTTTATATGTATACGGAGTTCTTTCTTCCAAAATAAAAACATGCATCGTCATCAATATTTTCCTTTTCCTTTTCTCGAGGCATTTGCGCACGATGATAAAGCAAAAGAAAGAAATCGCGTACGCATGTGCCGTACTTTCTTTTCTCTCATATAAATAACCTTCGAGACAACATACTTCTTCACTTTCTTTATTCTTTCATAGCCAAAGTATTATATTACCATTATCGATGTCGACATATAAACTCTATTATTTCAATGGACGTGGTCGTGCCGAAGTATCGCGTTTAATATTTGCTGCTGCTGGTCAAAAATATGAAGATATTCGTTATGAACGTGATCAATGGCCATCACATAAAAGTGAAATGCCTTTAGGTCAAATTCCTGTTCTCGAATTTGATGGAACAAAATTACCACAATCATTATCAATTGCTCGTTTTCTAGCTAAACAATTTCAATTAGCTGGTAGAGATAATTTTGAACAAGCTAANCTCTTCTACAGAATCGTACACATAACAAGCACAACACCTACCCTATATGCGTCGTTTTCTTTTTTTTCCTTCTTTCTACTCTTTTTTATGATATTGTTCAGATATTTTTTCTTTTTCGTTCCTGTTTCTATTCCATTACATTCAGTTTGTCCATAACTTGTTCACTATATATACTGATTTTTTGAAAACTAATAAAAGAGAAGTTTGTTTTTGACGAGTTAAATCAATTCACTTGTTCACAAGCTAATACGTACACTTGCTGTTTATTGCCAAAAACTAGCATATGTGAATTCATGAGCAATACATCACTACATGTCAGTATGAAAAACAAAAAAGAATACATTTAATTTAATAAGACGAAAAAATATCAGAATCTACAGGAGGATGATGAAAATTAACTGATAATAATCGCTGATTCTATTACATTCTAAAAATATATTGCATTCCTATATCTTTATTTGATGTCAATTATTGTGTTCGTTCTAACTCAAATCAATACATGATGACATTCGTTATGGGGGGAAAAGTCGAGCAGTAATGCAAAAACACATTATTCACCTTTAACGTTTTTCCTCGTTAGTAACTCTGTTCCTACGTCATAATTGGTGACGAATGTTATTAGAAGTATTGACAACGATTGTTTTTTTCCAAATAGGAAGAGCAAGCTAATGGGAAATTTTCTTCTATAAAAAGCAGAAGCCATCTATAAAAAGATAGCTCATTATATCTGTGATAAATATTCATCTATTGAATTTTATTAAGTGTAATGGAACAATCACGTGCCTTGGATGAAGCATTGAAACTCTTGACTGGATTAGATAATGATTCAACAAAACGTGCCAACATTGTTGAATATGTGAGAGAAAATGGAAGAATTGCCGTGTTCGCTTATGGATCTCTGATTTGGAATCCTTGTGTACATGTAGAACAGATTATTCCTGACTGTCTATTGAATGGTCACATTAAAGGATTCATTTGCCAAGACTTTATCTATCGAGGAACAAAAGATTTTACGAGTCTAACAATGGGTTTAAAACCATGTGAAGATTGTTTCGTTAAAGGTTATATGTTGATGGCTGGTGCCAATAAATTGATTCCATTCATTGAAGCTTTTATCAAACGTGAAACTCCGATCAGTGTCGATGGTACCAAGATGGATATTTATACATATGACTTTCTTCCTGTGATAACGTCGGATGGAAAAACGATCGAATGGGCATTGACTTGTGTTGTTAATAGTAACAGTCAATTCTATCTACCGATGACTCTTTCCATCAAACAACAAGCAGATATTATTAGTCAAGCTTATGGAATTAATGGAACCAATTTTCAGTATTTGCATAACACTCTGCACACTTATCGGCAGTTGTCTTTAATCGATACATTTACTGAAGAAATAGAAGAACTTTATGCTGCCGTTCTTATATACCGTAAATATTTAAGCAAACATGAACGACAATGGCTTGAAAGTTTTGAAAAATTGACGACGAAAGATGAACGAAAACTAACGATCAAATTACGAAAGACAAACAATATTCGCATGAGACAGCAAAAGTTATTCGGTCGCTCGTATTCAATAGAACCCATAGCCACCCCCAAATATAATCGAATGGTATCTGTCTAATCATGACAAAAGTATCTTATTTTTACTATCATATTGCTGCTTGTATCCATTCTACAATAGTTGAACCCATAAAGAAATGCAATATTTTGCTACCAGTTACTGTTGTGCTATTTTTAGAATAACAACTCTTGTTTTTGTTTATTATTCTCTCTGTTCTTTTCTAAAGTATTTTACATTTTTTTTGTGTTGACGAATAGAATGACGCAATCGTTTTGATTGTGTACTATTCAAATAGCTAGACCTCCTATAGAAAAAGTTTGAAAACCTAGTCAATATCGATACATCGAATTCGACAAGCTTGTATTTAGAACTCTTGAAACCTCCATCGTGGCAATAATAACGGTTTCGTCATGTATTTTGCAAGAGGCAAATAATGCTTCAAAATTGAGTCCACGCCTGTTGTTAGAACACTTTTAAAGCAAAGTACAACATGTCCTAAAAGTTAGAATTATTTTACAAACGCACATAGTTCTACTACTTGTCAAGTCTAATACAAAGTCTTTTTTCTCTGTCTGTAATAGAATAGTAATAAAATTTTATTATTGAAATCCAAATTCACCAACGCTACAGAAAAAATATATTACTTTTGAGTCTCATACTAAAATTAAACATTTTTTATGTCAAAATCACTATTCATTGCCTTTTTCAGATATTTATTCGAATTGCTATCGTCATTATGTCTTCAGATCATGAAGGTCTTTCATTAAGCCTTTAAAGTCATTTATTTGATATATTTCTAAAAGATTCAATCATTAGTTCATTTCTTCAAAGCCAACTTTTCGTGATTGTTTCAAAACTTTAAAAAACATGAAAACTAGCTCTGCAAACTATTTTATAACCCATCTGTCATTAGAAGCCACTATTTTCCTTTATTTTCGCTAGGATATAGTAGACGAAGCGTTCAAGAAGTCATACTAGAAGATTTGAACAATCTGAAGATCACAATACCGATAACAATTTCAATAAATATAGAAAAGAGACCGGTGCATATGATTTTCAGCATTGAACAAAGCCGAATGATTGTATTACAATGAAAAGTGCTAGTTTATTAACAATGATGATGATGATGCCCTTAGTTTTGAAGGATAAAAACGAACTAGTCTTCTTTTAAAATCAGAAAGAAATATGTGGGTGTTTGGCCAAAGTCGATTGTCACGAAAATATTCTTGTTTGAAAAAAAGTCTTACACATTAATGTTTTTGCCTTGTGTTATCGTGTGATTTACTTGTATCATATTTCTTTGTTCCCTCTCTTCTTCAACATCACACAGATGACAAGATGGACGTCTATATTAAATGAATTCTATAAATGAACCATTTCAAAAGATAATTAAATATTGAATTTATATGCAGTGATGCACAATATTATAAAAATAAGTTATATTTATATTTTATTTGCTTCTGCAGACAGCTGTTCAGATTTCTTTTAAAATGTCTATATGTAAATTATATCAAGTAAATTGTTCTCTACAAGAATATGTATATCAGCTGCAACAGCCAAAACTTACCTTTAAGATAATCTTTAATGATGATAAAAAAGACCAATATTCGAGAAAGTAATGCAAATTCGTCTTACTTTATAAGAAAGCATAGAGTTGGTTTATTTCAAAAACAAAAGATAATGTCGATTATGATTCAACAAAGAATAAATTTTAGATTATCCATGCTGTTCATTAAAAGCTTCGTTTTATCAAAAAACAGTTAATGTATTGATTGACATACATATGAATTTCTAAAGTTATTTTTCATATATTTGATTATTTCTCATTCAACGATTAAATTTTGATTTTATTGAAAAATTAATTTTACTTCATTAGATAATATGAAATTATCATTATTGAACTTAGATTTTCAGAAAAGTATTTTCTTAATAATTTCAATCGAATAATCAATTAAGAAAAATCATCACGAACTTTAAAAATACTAAAAAAAACAATTGAAGATTTTTCTATAGCATCATGAAATGTTTTTTCAATTGATGAAAAAGAATTATTTAAAAAAATTTTATTTAATAATAAAAGCTCATTACAAATATTTGAATATTTATTTAAATCATTTTCATTTCCATAGAAATTTATCTTTTCCTCTTATTAAATTGAATGTCATGATAAATTTCAATAATATGAAATCAATAAACTATAAAGATAACCGTTAAACATCATAGAATATCATCATTTTGAAGTGTTCTTTTAATGGTACACGCAAGTTGGAGGGTTCCAATCAGTATATTGATTTTGTATGTTTAGGAAGTCATTTGATTCGAAATATTCTGCTGCAATGTCAGACGAATCATAGTAGTACAGCTTGACAGTCACTATGGATTATGGGCGTCAATGACACATGCACATAGAACTGAAATTCCAAGAAATTTGTTTCTCTTTCGATTACAAATGTTTGCCTTGACTTACTTCCTTTTGAAGTTAACCTATATAAATCAGTTTCTCAGTAGAGTGCCAGGACTCTATACCTGTATCCTTACCTTGATGGCTCAGCCAATATTTTATTCAATTCTGTTTTTGGATTCTAACGGAAATCACAAACCGTCAGATGCCACTAATGGTCTACTTTTTTTAAAATCGGTCGACGATTTATTAAATTCATTACAGAAATCGAAAGAAGTAAAATTTCCCGTATGTATATGTTCTTCAAATAAGTCTAACATTTTGGAGAAACTTGAAAACTATTCCAATGTAGCATGTGTCTACATATGTGCAGAACACCATGAAAAATTCAATAAACAAAACCGAGCAACAAATAATACAAAAGTACAAGAAGAAAACTTTTCTGAGAAACCTCTTTGTTGGCAAATTCATGCTCATACAGAAGCTTTGCATGCTAATGCTGACAATGCACAACGGAATGTAGTTTATTATATCAGAAGCATCATAGCAAACCTTACACAACAGCCAAGCTATGAATCTCAAAATTCAAATGAAGAAAACTCATGTTAACTTTATCTGAAGGTGAAGGTGAAACCTAGTACAATGTCGAAGTGGAATAAAAAAAAACATATTATTTTCTTTTAATCCAGGGTACTACATCTTTTATGTCACTTTTTTCTATTCAAGAATTTTAATTCATATTCATTTGACATTTGATTTTGAATTTTATTTTTTAATAATTGGTACGAAATTGTTCTCGATGCCATCAGGCAAACAACATTTAGTATCATAGTAAAAAAAAATATAATGATAAATTGTTTTAAAGATATTCTAATATCGTTCGCATGAAATTTTCAATAAGGAAATTAATCATCTTAAATAATCCTTTATATTGCTTGAATATTTGAAAAAAATCATAACTACTTTTTGGGATTTACTTCAGTTCAAAAGATGTAATAATGTTTATTTTATTAACCTTCATCCAACCATGTGAAATTCATATGGACTCCAGCGAGATTAGTTTTAGTGTTATAGAACTTTACAAGAGAGTCACTTCAACTGTAACCGTTGTTTGAACTCATATTGAACCTGCAAGGTCTCTCGGTAAAACTAGAAAATATCGAAAAAGGGTTTATTCGTACGGACCGTCAAAGCCAAATTATAGCTGTTTCAATGAACTTTTGACCCATTTTTAGATACTGACTGAAAAATTAAATAATGGACTTTCGATCTGAAAATTTGACTATGGGTAGATTTAGTGATTTTTAGAACCGCCTGAAATTTTCAGTTGAAAAGAATATTCCTTTGTCGAAATATTGATTTTCGAAATAATAATTGTTTGATGTAGACATGTCGCAAAAATCGAGTTTACTCAAAAATATAATATCTCAACGAAAAAACATTCTCTTTAACTGAAACTTTTAGACAATTTGAAAGATCATTAGACTTATCTATCGTCAAAATTTCAGCTCGAAATTTCATCCTTTAATTTTTCAGTAAATATCTAAAAATAGTTCAATAATTTAGTAAATCGAGAGTCAATGAAGATGAACTCATTATATACTTTTTCTATTCTTATCGAGACCCCCTCATGAGCTCAATATGAGCTCAAACATAAGATTACAGCTGAGATAGTTTTCTCATTAGCAAATTCTGTCAGGATACATGCGTAATATTGCGATGTTACATGTTACAGCAAATATTTTGACGCGTTATGTTTTAATTAAGTTTATTTGACATAGGAACTCAAATAGTTTAAAGTGTTTTGAGTATATGTAACACGTGTCTATTGCTATGGACGAATTTCCATAACCAACTTAGACGAGATACTAATTAGACTGATCGATGATAACAATGTCTTTTGTCTTTGATATCTGTTTTTGACACATTAATTTTATTACTATAGTAATGGTTTGCTATAGACAACTATGAATTACGATTTTGTCAACAAAATAGTGAAAATCAATAATGCTGTAGACGATGGAAATGTCTCAAATCATGCATCATTTGAATCCTAGATGATTTCCAAATGATTTTCAGTGATGTTCTTTCAAATGCCATATTCTAAATCTTGAATCCCAGATATTTAGCTCATCACTATTGTGACGAAACTAAAACTCAACATTGATGCGACAATATTACTCTTGTTAGAGGTTTCATTTATTGCAGTAGTATTTCTCATTAAAAGTTATCTGAATAGAGTAATTGATCCAGCATCTCATTATTTTCATAGAATCACTGACGCCAAAATGGACATACAAATTCTAAAGATCAACGTTTAAACTACAGTTAGTTACCCTTGAGACACTAACTTCAAAGAATAAAAATCAAGACAATCTGATTACAACTAATTAAGTCATAAATCAGATAAATATATGTTAGCCAATCAACAAGAAAGATATTCGTCAGTTTTTGTTGATTTTAGAAAAAAAAATTTAGTTTTTTATTCGAGTTCATTACTAGAAATTGTTGGTGCAGCAACAGGTTCAATTTGACGATTATTAAAATGAAATCTTCGTTTCCATGAATTCCAATATTCTTTTATTAAAACATATTTCACTTGTCGACGATATCGTGATGATGAAGCCAAAAAAATATAAAAATTTCCCTAGAAAAATGT